CACCCACACCCTAGCCAAAAATACTGCCATAATTTCATAATTAATATATAAAGGACAATGTGTATGTGTTCGATGATACTCCGTCTTTCAGCCTGAATATATTCACATAGTTCTTTTAGGATGGTTTGGCACTGGCAGTATGAATAATGCACGAAATGACCACACAGCATCTGTATTAAGAAACGGACAAGTATTAGTTACTGGTGGATCTAATTATAGTTTATACCTAAATAGTACCGAACTGTATGATCCATCAACAGGAACTTGGACAATGACTGGTAATATGAATTATAGTCGAGCAGTGCACACAGCATCCGTATTATCAGATGGAAAAGTATTAGTTACTGGTGGATATGATGGTAGCTCCTATCTAAATAGTGCTGAGCTGTATGATCCATCAACAGGACTTTGGACAACGACTGGTAGTATGAACCATGGACGATTTTTGCACACAGCATCGATATTAACAAATGCATATGTGTTAGTTGTTGGTGGATGGGATGGAAGCTCTTTTCTAAATAGTGCTGAGTCGTATGATCCATCAACGGGAACTTGGACAACGACTGGTAACTTGAATGGTGCTCGACGTGAGCGCAAAGCATCGGTATTAACAAATGGGAAAGTATTGATTACTGGTGGATGGGATGGAGGTTCTTATCTAAGTAGTGCTGAGTTGTATGATCCATCAACAGGACTTTGGACAACAACTGGTGGTATGAATAGTGCACGGAATGTGCATACAACATCGGTATTAACAAATGGAGACGTGCTAGCTACTGGTGGATTTAGCTATTTTCCTCTGAGTACTTCAGAATTGTATTAATTATCTCAATGAAATGAACAATCAATAATCTTGTATTTATCATTACATGCAATCTTGCTTTCAAACACTAGTTTGATAAAGAGAACTATTGGATTATAATGACAGTGATTCGTTTCCTTCGATTTCTTTGTTAGATTTTCATACACTTGCGAATTCGATTTCAAATACAAAAATAGTTTCTTTTTTTATATTTTTGAATATTACACTTCTTTTGTTATGGAATATTCTCAGTTCATATGATGATTTGGATCGCCTTAAAGTGTTTAATTAAATTTACAATTCCTCATGTATACCAAAGTTCGATTTTCTTTATATCAGTAATCAATGTTCTATCGATAGTTGCAGCTACGTTGACAGATTGAAGTTTTACTTTGTTCATTTAAGTTTTTATAAGGTTTTTCTTACCTGTTGAAGAAAAGCTGTAGTTTCTTGTTCTTAATGTGTGTAATAGCAATTTATGTTTTTAAAATGCCAATGAGTGAATTGTTATTCAGTTGATTTACTATTGTGTTCTCTGTCAAGTTCAACTATTGGAAAGAGTAGTTGCGATAAATGAGTCTATCATCTAAGAACAGAAATTCTTAGTTTTCTGTTTCATAGTACTTCTGTTTCAGAGGGTGAATGTTAAATTTTTGCTGTGAGCATTTGAGCTAGAAATCGTGCACTTCGATGTATCATCCCACTCGAAGGAACGATAACTACATTAAGAATTGGGCTATTGAGTGAGAATGCATTTGGCAAAGATAGAGCAGTCATATTAAAGCCGATGTTTAAAGCCTTTTCAAATCAAAATACAACTACGTAGTTGTTATCAGATTCCAGTTTTAATGTAAGAACCAGTATTGATGCTGACGCACTTGTTGTAAATGCCTTCTCTGATTATTTATAGTTTTGTTTAACAGCCTCAAACCTTAAATCGATTAAACTGCTGAAGAATCATTGAAATTTTATATTCCCGGATGACTTTTGGAACACTCTATAATTCTAGAAAAGTAATTGATATGAATTTCTTTATATAATACATCAAAAAAAATAAAATTCATTCAAGCTGAGAAACTGCTTGAAAATCAATTCTTAATACAAAAGAGCCAAGAAAAGTATTTGAACGACGATTAAAATCAATAAAACTATAAAAAGTCAATTAATGACAAGTATTTGAAAACATGAAAGAAAAACTCGATAGAAAATAATTCCAAGTATGAATTCACGGTTGACCATTTTATGGGCGACACGAACATCCAGATGTTAAAAGAATGCAAATAAAAAAACAAATGATAGTGTAACAGACAGCATGCATCTGTACTTAAGTTAAACAATGAGAAACAAACAGAACATATAAGACCTGAAATTGATATGAATGCTGTGCTTTCTATGTTAAAATGCGAGTGCAATGACATACAAATTTTTTTTTGCAGAAACTTCAAATAGCGCAATAACATAATTTTGAAATATTTGAGTTTATTCATCATATTCTTTTTGAACAGCATGATGGACGCGGTATCTTCACCGTATAAAAATGTACAGCATACTTCAGTGAAAAGAATCGACGAAACGTCTGTTGTTATTCAATCTTCACTACTTGGTTATGTTTATTGTATATTAACTTTTTAATCAAAATCTGATATTAACTCGCCGGATTTGTTTTATTTGAATATCATTTTGTATTCTTAAAACATTGATTTATTCGTCTGAACTTCGTAAAATTATTAAAAATAAATCCTATTCTAATAAATATATTATGATTTGCAACATTTTTTCTATCAAAAAAGCTCTACATTGTACAAATTATTGTGAGATTATTAAATAAGTCAATATTGTAAAATACTTGAGAATTGATTGAATTAGATGACTCACAATTTCAGCATTGTCTCATCGTTTGTTGTTGTCAATTGCGTTGTTAAGAAATGTTTCTTATGGAAACATAGGTCGTCCTTTGATTGTTCAGTATTTTAGCATTTCCATTTTTCTTTCAATGAAAGAGAAAACATATAGTTGACATTCAATTTTGAACGACAGCCTGATTTATTTTACTCATTGTAACTGTTGGTTTTTCATAGAAAATAAAGAAAAATAGAATAAAGATTTGAATAAATGATGCCAGAAGTCTGTTTTGATAATATCAATTTTTTAATTATCATACCAAATCTAAACAACAATTGGCTATCATTTCTCGCTACATTTCATTTAATTATTTGACTTGAATAAAAACGCCTATGTTTGAATTATTATTATCTTGAATTATTACACAAATATGTGTGTATCTCATAATTCTATTCGGAATATATTCTATGTTAGTTGTCTTTCGTTTGGTTCTTCACACATGATGCCAACAACAACGAATATTGAATAATATTTTTCAATACAACGAAATTTGATTTCTTTTTAATCTCTTTTCACAAATTTAGACAACTAGACGTCACCTAGCGCATTCTTTCAGATAAGAAAGTGATTGTGAATCAATATCTATTCACACATCCTTGTACAAAGCTGTATGCAAGGTATCAAGAAATTTTGGAATAAAGTCGTAATGTTCAGTGAAATTGGTTTATTCAATCATTTTAACAATATTCTCTTCATGTTTGAAGGATTTCATGAATCGAATTGTTAAAAATCTGGCATCGTTGATGTCATTATTAGCTGAAAAAAATTGTCAATATGCAGAATAATGTCAACATAAATTTTCATCGATTACCAACATCTTTCGATTCAAATTCATAAAGCCTATTGTTTCCATAAATAATATTATTAACGTACACATTCTCATATGGGAAAATAATATGAAACTTAAACCTATAACCAAATGTTTTCTTTAAAAGAAAGCAATTATGAATGCTTAAATATATTTATCATGTTCAAGACATGCATGTAAATAATACGATTGAAACATTTTTCATGAGAAAAGTATCTATTGACTTGATAGAAATTATGTAGGATGAAAATATGTGTAATATTCTTTATAGATTTTCATTGGTTTATATTAAAACTGATGGATCAATACACAATTTCATAATGCTCATCGTCATTACTATTATTAATGTCCTATGTTTTTATTTGACTGAAAAGAGATCTATAAGTAAAACTAAAGTTCGATTGAATGATTCCATATCTAGATAGCTGTGAATAAATTATTCTTGAAACTAAAGTTAATAAATAAAATAAAAATAGACGTTTTGTACCAATTCATTTAGAATAGTCAACGCTGTGCTATTTCAATTCACACTTGATTAAAACTCTTCTGTTAACGACACAAAATATATTATATATAGTATGCAATTAAGTTTTTTGGCGTAAGATCATTATACATATATGTATTTGCTATTTATCTAAAAATGATTTTCAAATTTTAATTTTCAATTTTAGTTGCTTGTATAAAATTATGTAGAAGTCATCTAGATGGAGGATTTCTATGAGTACTGATGTTTACATGGCGTTGCTTCTTCAATGAGTAATACAACGACGCAAAAACAACTTGCTCAATTCTTCTGTTTTTAACATTTGCAAATATGGTTAAATCCCACTCTTGTATTTTTACCAACATAATGAATGTGCTTGTTCGGAAAAATGATGTGATCAATTATAATTTTTTGGTAAGAACAGTTGGCTCTGTCAGGTAAAATTATAAACATTGAAGAATAAAACTCATTGGCTTTGGAATTTAGAATGTGAGCTTGATCATTAATACTATATGTTGGTGCCAGTCACCGTCTGAATTTGATGGACTCTGTGCGTCACATTACTAAAAGACATGCAGTAGTACATTCCAAATGAATTCGATCTTTATCATTTGTTTTTTGCAAATTTCCCGAAACTAAACAAAAATTTATAGGCTTCAGCCCTGCAAATAATTACGCAAAGAAATTATACCCACAAAAATGGTCCCTCATTGAAAAGATTTTTTTTCATACTCTGATTTGACAGTGCCGGAGGCATCTCAAAAAATTGCTTGTTTCAGGTAGTTCTCTTTTTAGATTACACATTTTATAAATTGGGATGGCAAATAACATGAATTATGCATATATTAATGAAGCATCCATAGACCCTGAGCTCATATGTATTATTTGTAGTGGCCCCTTCAATGATCCATTATCTTCTCCATGTGATCATACATTTTGTCGTAAATGCATTGCAGGATGGATGAATACTGGAAATGCAGGATGTCCTACGTGTCGCAAACAGCTAGCATCTATAGATAGTCTTGCGCAACCTAGTCGCATAGTGCGAAATATGCTTGATCGTCTCCCAGTGAAGTGTAAGTTCTGTGGAAAAACGGGGTTGGAGAGAGGTAATTTCGATGAACATATGAGCAAAGCGTGTGCTAAGGCGCATGTTTCATGCCCATCAGCAGATATCAAGTGTCCATGGAAGGGGCCACGAGATCAACTCGATAGCCACCTGGAAACATGTGTGTTCCAACCTTTTCGATCGATTCTTAGCGAACTTATTGCTGACAATAAACAGCTTAAAGAACAAATGAAGCAGCAGGATGCTCAAATAAATGAATTATCCAGTAAGTAAATAGAACATCTTGCAAGTTCACATCTATTTAAGAATCATTCAACTTTTTTTCTACTTCAAAACTTGGCGTGTAGGTAGCAGTAAGAATAGTCTCTTTTCAATCGGCAATTCATCATTCAATGTATTTTGGATCGACTATTTTCGTACGATTTTAGTGGCAACTTAAAAATCAAGTTCACAATTGTTACGAACTACTTGAGACGAGAAAACCCTCATTCTTTTTTACATTTGATCTGCAACACTCAAGATATTTTCTAGAACAAGAGAAGAAACGGCGCATCATTTTCTAAAGTAATGTTAATCATCCGGCTCCTAGTTTATAATAAGCTTGTTTCAGGACGAGTGGACTCCGCTTCGCAACGTCCTTTGGACATAAATGCATTACTCAGAAGAAGTTTTAAAAAAAGACGATTCACTTTCTCACATAGTCTACGTAAGATCGGAAAGCTATAGTGATAATATCAGTCAAGTCTTTGTTAATTTCG